TTATTATTATAATTAGGGATAAAGTATTTTGTATTATATTTAATTATTTTGGAGAAAACAGATGGTCGGGAAGAGAAACGGGTTGGGTTGACTTAGTCTAATGGATTATTTTAAAAAATGGGTAAAAGAGTTAACCCTATCTGCTTCATTTTTACGTTCTAAAGGGTTAGAAGGAAAGAATAGAGCTCTGAGGAGGAGTGCTCAGGATCAATCCCAAACGATATCAAAATTGTTCCTATTTATGTAGTTGTGTGCGTGACACAGTGTTGGACATGTGATGCGTTAGCATGGGCGTGTGCGTGATGCAATGCTAGATGTGTGACACAGTGTATATATGATTTGTGATGTGGAAGTGAAATGGATTGACTTTAGAATTGATGATGTTAAATATGTTTGGATGGATATTGGGTTTATATATTTTTTGAAATTGAGATTGTCTTGTGGAAATTTCCTACTGTGCTTTTCTTATAAATCTCTTCTTTTCTCACCGTATGTTTTGTTGTTGTTTTTAGGTGAGGAAGATCTTGACATGAGTGGCATTCAATGTGCCAATAATTGAGTCATGTGATTACTCTGATAGTGTGACATCGGGGCAAGGAATTTTAGATTATTTATTTTATTGTAATTGGTTTTATTTTTATTTGTTAGTTAAATTTATTAACTTATATTTTATAAATATTTATTTTAAATTATTTGGAGTAGAATAGGTATCACAGATACAAGCATAGGTATCTAGGTACCCAACGTGTATTAGAATGAGGATGGAAATTGCTATCCAAACAAATACGAGGTTGGATATAAGTATTATTTTAAATGCAAGTATGAAAATGAGTATTTAGATGGTGTTTTTAATAGCAAATACATTGTTAATTGCATTTGGTGGGACAAATACAATAATTGTGATATATCAAGATTATGTCAACCTTCCTAGTCCAACTTAACAACGATGGCTTTTGAATATTTGGATTGTGGCTGAGCCTCTTATCCTACTCTTATGGTATCGGGAAATGGCCAAGATTTTCTAACCTTAGGGTAGTGTAAGACAATTGTCCGAGATATGAGGAATAGTTACAATAATGACTAAGATTCATAAGTCATTAATTACATTGAAGACACAACACCTTTTAAGGGATAAGGACAAGAGGTAAGGGATCTTGGCTTGAAATAAAGGCTAGTATATAAGAGAAGGGGAAACACCAAGATAGTTTAGGTTACACTCACTAAATGTTATGGTTCGAGATAGTAGCTAGAATTCTCAAGAGGTGGTCCCATATACCAGAACATTTTGGAGCCCATTGTGGGATACAAGTAAAATGATATCCCACACCTTGGTTGCCTGATGTGAGCCAAGGACGGAGCCAAGGGGGGACCTACGGGTGCCACGGCCCCCCCAACAATTTTAATTTTTTTTATATACATATATATTACTATATGGCACCCCAGTATATATACATATATATTTTAATTTTCATTTATTATAAATTATATATTATTTATTCTCGGCCCCCCAGTATTGAAATCCTGGCTCCGTCCCTGATTGTGAGCAATAATTTATAATGATGAGGTTGCTAAGGAGAAATACAAGGGGACTAACAATAAAGGCTCCAATGGTGTCGACGATGGAGACATCAGTGGAGTAAGGGGTATACTAGTTTCATAGACAACAATCCAACATTGCAAGAAGTCTTGGCAATTATGGAGGTTCTATGGCAGGAGAATGCATATGCATGAAGAAGGGCAGGGGAAGTAGAGCAACATCATCGACATAACATAGTGGTTGTTGATAATGATCCCATGTTATAAGAAATCATGGCCGAATGCCAAGGTCCGTTTCGGCGGGTGGCGACAATGTTATATTTGTGCGGCCAAGGTCGAGTTCGAACCTTTGTCCTACCAAGGTCGAATCCGAACTTCGATGTACCAAGGTCATGTTCGAACGTTGATATCATATTTTTCTAGCCAAGGTTGAATTCGGACCTTGATGACATATTCACATAGTTAAGTTCGAGTTCGAACCTTCGAATAAAATTTGTGTTACCAAGGTCGAATTCAAACCTTAAAGCGCTAAGGTCGAGTCTGAACCTTGATATTACATTTTCCTAGCCAAGGTCGAATTTGAACCTCGATGTAAAATTTGTGCTGCTATTATATTCTCCTAGCTAAGGTCGAATTTGAACCTTAGTCGAATCCTAAATACTAAGAGTCGAGAAAAGGCTAAGTATAAGAAACACATCGAAAACTAGCCAAATGCAAAATACGCATTACCAGAGCAAATGTAAACACTTTGCCAAAAGTAAATGATGTCCAAACTTGCATACAAACAACTGGAACATAAAGTAGTTACAAACTTCAGCAAAATACACAAAATAAATAAAGTCAGACATATCTACAAGCTCCCTTCGCTTGTACCATCAGAAAGGTCATCCTCATCCACCAGCTTCCCATCACGAACGTCTTTGTCAATGTTGAGCAAGGAAATATAAACCTCAGGGGCTATCACCTTCATCTGCCGAGCTGCCTTGAAGAAACCTCTCCTAAGCTCAACAATAATTTGGCACTGAGTGTCTACAAGCTCTTTCTCCGCACCTTCCTTTGTCGTACTTAAGACCTTTGAATCCATCTTTAGGACAACAATCTGCTTGGCATTGGCAGCAAGAAGCTCCTAATCACTCTGGCACCTCTCCTCGACTGCCTTCAGCTTCTCCTCCAGCACTTTGATCTGCTCCTCACATAGACGAACTTGGGCCCTCGAATCCTCTACCTCCAATTCAGTGGCCTTCACCTTGCCGATCAGATCTCCGACTTTGGCCACATAAGCTTCATTTGCCTTGACAATGGAAAAAAAGGACTTCTTAGTCTTTTCCAAGTCCTTCCTCGCCTCGTCCACCTCGGCTCTTTCCTTCTTGGCCCTCTCAAGGTCAACCAAATTTTTCTGCCACTTCCTCTTCCAATGATCCACTATAGCAATGGATCTTTGCCTGAACACCTCGGCAGAGTCGAGCCCCTCGATCAGACCAACCTTCTCAATAACAGCCTTATCTACAATCAAGGTTGGGGGCTCCTCGTAGAAGTTCTCTGCCGTCAAATTGGGATTCCAGAAAGAAAGGACGTTGGGAGACATGCTCACATGGTCTAACCTGGCAAGAGGACAACTTGTGTCAAACCTCTGATAAATGCAATGAGTTTGAGTTGTCGAGCTTGTTGAAGGAACAACAGATGAAGGGCCTCGTGGCCGACCTCGGCAACAGTAACCAGATTGACAGGAGTTGGAGTTATTACCTGCCACGCAAAGTAACTCAATAACACAAAATTGGCCAAACAAATAAAAGCAAGCTTGTAATACAAAGACACAATACCTCTTGGGCAGGCAGTTTTGAGAGAGGTGCCTCCTGCTGGTTATAATCTACAAGCACATCCATGGTCGAACTCGATGGAGGACTCGAGGTAAGGTCGATGGTCCCCCCTGACGTCCCCTCGAGAGCGACAAAGACCTCGGTAGTGACCTCGGTAGCAACCTCGGCCATCAATTCCTTTTCAACCTCAAGAGACTTATTTTTCCGCTTGTGCCGCGGTCGGAGGCTACTCTGTTCCTCCTCAGCATCAGGGATCTCCTACACCACAATATCAAACTTGGCCTTCAATTCGCGCCACTTGCTCTTACCCATCAGGCCTGCAAATAAAACAACACTGTTAGACACACACCAAGCCCACCTTGGTAAAGGTAAACACATCGGCCATACTCACTTTCTAGTCTCTTCTCCCTATTCTTCGACCTAGGAAGGGATATAACACCCCTGTTATCTACAGGCCGGGAGAGAGACTGCAACTTGTCTATGTCCTCCTCTTCAACGGTGGACAGATCAAAACCAGTAGAGCCAACTAACTTATTGGGGTTCTGCTGCCAAAAGAAAGGGAACCTTGGCTCCCCATCAAGGTGGAAGAGGTGCTCAAATGATACATCAGCATTGATAGGGCAAATTTTAAAGTAATCCTCCTTAAAATTTTTATAAGAAGGGCAGAATAGTTGGAATAGTCCTCCTTCCTTATAACCACTCAAAGACACCCAACCTAGAGGAGGGTCCCCAAACTTCAACTGATAAAAATGCATGAACTTGGCCAACGAAGCCTTTATTCCTAAAATCGAGCACAAAACTTTGAAAGCTCGGAGAAAATCCCAACTGTTCGGATGAAGTTGGCTTGGGGCAACGTTGTGTGACTGAGGAAGGAGCACTCAAATGGAGTAAAGGGAATCAAAACACCAAGATCCTTGATGAGGCATCGGTACATGTAAAAAAATAGGGAGGGACCTGACAAGAACACGCGCTCATCAGGTTGGCAGTGGTCGACCCTGATGAGATCGGCCACCGAGGAGGCGCAAATGGACAATTCCTTATGAAGTGAACCAATTGACGACGAGGATGAGAACCTACTCTCAAACTTGCCAACATCTCCGCTCACCTACTCATACTCGGGGATGGATATTAAAGGATGGGAATCTTTCCTATTATTCCCACCTCGCTTCCTTTTGTTATCCTCATCCTCACTACTAACCTTCCCTTTTCCCCTTGCACGACTACCCTCCATGATGCACGCTCTTAAGCAAATAAGCAAAGAAGAAGCGGAAATGGTACGAAAAACATGTACCTTGGTGTCGAAGGAGGGATAGGACGAACTAGCAAAGCACCAAAAATGGTGGAGAAGAAGAACGCCGAAGAGTAAAAAACACCAACAAAGAGGAAAATGAAAATGACTGTGGGGTGAATTGCAAAAATAAAGTAAAAGTGTGGGCCCCCCACTACAGTAAATAGCACCCATAATGAACTGGCAAAACTTGTCATCAAAGGAAGCGACCTGTCATTAATGAGGAGTCGTCGTTTCCCGAGTAACGAAATGTGTGCCTCCTCGAGAAAAACGTTTGAAAGGTGACGTTACAAAAATGAAGAGACACCTCCCAGTCCAAGCGACACGTTGCCATAGATAGCATCACATCATCGCAATCCATGAAGGACTCAGAAACTCTAAGGTCCAAAGATGGTAACTTCACGTTGGGATTCTTCACCCCTCAAAACTCTGCAAAGCGCTACGTTGGAATTTGGTGGAAGTCTGAGTCCACAGTCATATGGGTTGCTAACAGAAACCAATCACTGAATGATTCTTCTGGAGTTGTTACCATTTCTGAAGATGGCAATCCTGTGGTGCTCAATAGACAAAAACAAGTCATTTGGTCAACAAATGTATACAATTCATCATTCAATACAAGTTCCAAGCTTTCAGACTCTGGTAAGCTCGTTCTCACAGAAAACACAACAGGAAACAAGTCATTGTGGGATAGTTTTCAGCAACCTTTAAATACATTATTGCCAGGCATGAAACTTTCAAGCAATAGAAGAACAAGTACGGAAGTAGAACTAACATCATGGAAAAGCCCTTCTAATCCCTCTGTTGGGAGTTTCTCTTGTAGTGTTGTTCAACGCATAAATATAGTTGAAGTGTTCATTTGGAATTGGAATGTTGAAACTCGACCGTACTGGCGCAGTGGTCCATGGAATGGTGGCATATTTACAGGGATACCGACCATGTCACCGTATCTTAATGGATTCAAAGTTGGGGATGATGGGGAAGGAAATACAGATGTCTATTTTACATTACCAAGTGCATTAGAATTTGTAATCTATATGATGAATTGGCAAGGCCAATTAGAAGCAAAACTTGTTAGATAATCTTAAATTTTAGAGATATCCAAGTTAGTTTATCTGTTTTATTTGTTTTATTTTAGATAAGATAGTTTTTTTGATAAGATTTGTTTTGATAAGATATTTTGTTATCTTCTTGTTAATTTGGTACGTTGTACAATGGCTATTTAAAGGCCATCTCTTATTCAATAAAAATTACAGTGAGTTGCTACGATCACCCATAATTTTTGTATTACTCGTCTCTTCGTTTTCTACAAATTGGTATCAGAGCTTTATTCTCTGAGTGCCGAGTGTGAGAGGAAAATAGTGTGCGCCTGTGAAGGGGAAGAAAGAAGAAGGGAGAGAGTAATGGCGAAGGTTGTTAATGGAATGACCGTACCACAACTGTCGAAGAAAACCAATTATGATAATTGGTGTTTACAGATGAAGACCCTGTTGGGTTCCCAAAGTCTATGGGATATAGTGGAGAAGGGGTACCGAGAACCCGAGGAGGACGAAGACCAATCTGTGGCTCAGATTGCTGCATTGGAAAAGACACGAGTAAAGGACAAATCGACTTTGTATTTTTTGTACAATGACGTGGATGAATCAGGTTTCGAGAAGATTACAAACGCTGCGTCTTCAAAGGAAGCATGGGAGATCTTGGAGGTTGTGCATAGAGGTGTGAATAATCAATTTTATCGGGACTCAAAAAAAATTTTTAAAAAAAATGTTATGTAACCCAGAACAGGCCGTTCCAAATTCAGAACGGGCCGTTCCACGTTAGAAAAAAATACAACAACCCTAATTTGGAACGGCTGTTCCAAGATGGGAACGGGCAGTTATTAGTTTAGAACTAGCTTGGAGAAACATAAAAACTATTGTGCATTGAAGACGAGGAAATAATTTATTTCTAATTTTGGAGTTTTATTATTTAAAAATATATTTTGCATTATTTTAAACAATTGATCTTGAATCTTAATTGGTCACTACCATGCCAGGGTGTATTTTGAGTACAATCATTTTTATATTAGATCAATTAACTGATACGATTTTGCTCTCGCAGATATCTGATATACGTGAACGGAAATATGAGAAAATGGGAATTGGAAGCAGTTACCTTTTTAGACTTGATGATGGTTATGTGGTTAGTATATATTGCCGTAATTTTTAAGTCTTAAATTTTGCAAGTTTCATTTATCTTGCTTCTCTAAGGTAATTATGGTGTCATTGTGTCCGATGAATCTATATTTTATTCTCCCTATCTACACTGTTGGTATTGATTGATATTTATATTTAAGATTTTTTGCAATTAAAATGTAATGAATTTTATGGAAGTAGCCAGAGTTAAACTATACGGATTATGTTGCATTTTAAAGGTTGAAAAAGATTCATTTATAATTTTTGTTATAACTCATGATATAGAAACAATCTATTAATTATCGATAAAAATTCTTAAAATTAACAACCTTTACATTATTATGAGTGAAATTAGTTTCTATTATAAAAAAATTAAAAATATCATACAAAATTTATATGCAGGTACAATTTCCAAAGAAGAAAAGAATTGGTTCAGAGCTTAGATCACCAACTGATAAACTTTAATTA